TGTTGTAAATTGTTGGCATAGGTGTGATCGTTTGGTGATAGACAATTGATAGGAGGTGAGTTCCGATCGTGGGGGTGGCCGAAATGAAATTTTTTGACGATTTTTAGATTTGAGGACATTGAATTTTCAGCATTAATTCTGATCACTACGGTTGATGAAATTGGGAGTGGTTGGGTAGTAATTGAAGGGGGAGTTGGAGGGCTGTTGAACCAGTGTCAACGTCCGGTGACTTGGATGGCCGGAGGCTGCAGGAATTTGGACGCATTTTGGATGAAAAAAGGCAAAAAATAGCCACTTTTTTGGACTGATTTGCATTTAAAAAAAAAAATTGGGAGCAGGTTGCAATTTATTCTTTATTTTTATTTTCTTTTTTGTTTTATCTATATAGGAGGGTATAATGATCATTTTATGTTAAAAATCGCAACAAAAGTGAAAGATATAGATGTTCTTCGTCAAAAAAAGAAAGGTATTGAAATTTTCCACAAAAAAACTTTCAAAGATGGGGACGTTTTGCACCAATTATCCCTTTTTAATTTAAATATAAAGGCATATTCATTATTTTACAGTTCTTTATTGAAAATATATGGAAATGATGGTTTACTTGTCAAATGTGTAATTAAGGGTGAAAATGCTAAAAAATATGAAAGGTAGGGACATTTTTCATAATACAGATAAGGATATTATGTATTAATTGTTATTTTAATAATTTATTTGTGATTTATTTGTACTTTTAAAAAAAATTAGGACTGTAATTGCAATTAATTTTTTCCTTTTCCTTTTTGTTTTATTTATAGATGTAAGTATATTTGTCATTTCATAATTTTTAATTGAAAAAATAGGTGAAAACGATCTTTTGCCCAATGAATGTGAAAATAAGGGTGAAAATGTCAAAAAAATGAAAAATAAAAACGTTTTCTACAATAACAATGAAACGTGGAAACGTTACATGTTAATTAACATATTCATTAACTTTTGCAAAATTCACTCTCTATCCTTTCCAACAAAAAAAGTTATATAATAGCCTCCAATTGAAAAACGTTCTCATTGAGAACATTAAAACTCAGTTTCAACTCTATTTTTTGGAGGAATAGATTAATAGTAATTTTTTTAGAAAATGTGTAGTCAAATAGTAAGAAAAAATTTGAATTTACATGCACAATTATTTTATTAAGAAAGTACGTCGATGAAAATAAACACAAAAAATATGATGCTCAAACATGGGCTAAAATAGGTTGAGATTTTTGTACCATATTTATTTTCAAAAAATAAATAATTCCTTCGAGTACAGTTGATTTCAAAGGTTGTTGTAACATATACTTTTTCAAATTTTTACAAAAATTCATTTGCATCAAATGCAAGTTTTCAGATGAGTCACAACGATCTCAATTAAAACACAACTTCTTTAGACAACCCTCCAGACCGTAGCAATGCCCTATATCATGCCAAACTCCAATGCACCAAGAATCCGTGTTCTAATACCACTTGTATGGAATTTGAATCGATTTCCTAATCCATCGTTAGCAACCCGACTCCCCTCGAGGAAAGGCAACAATCTTGTGCACCTGGTGAGAATGAAAAAGCATTCAAGTATGAAGCTGCTTAAACTTTCCAATAGGAAGCTCCTGACGCCTATCATCCAAATCTTGAACCATGCCTTCGCTCGCATGAAGCCAAAATTCCGGGAGATGTCATGGCACAGCTCCGATATGGGAATCAAAATTTAAGTTAAATTTTGCAAAAATTGATTAATTTTTTTGTTAAAAAGTTATAGGTCCAATGTAATGTAATGATTAAAATGAATTGTTAGACTTGAAATTTTCAATTAATTTTAATCAAACCAAACAGTAGCTTAGTTGACTAGCACTACTTCTAGGGGATTAGAAGTGAAGTTATGTGGCAAACTTTTACTCAGAAGAATCGTGGAAATCCCTATCATTAACACACCCATGGCGTCAAAGAACAATCAATCAACTCTAACGATGATCCAATCAAAACCACTAAAATCCAAATCAACCGTTTTAAAATCGCGATTTTTTATTCGATTTCGCGAATTAACAAAAAAAATAGAGATTCCACTTTAATTTCCTAAAAAATTAATTGAATTTGATTAAATATACGAGCATATTAGTGCACGAGCCGTGTAAAATAGCAGACGGCACATGCAAGCATATAATACTCGCGCCAGTGAGACAGATTTCGGCAACTAAAAGGGCCGATTGCGCTATTCAGAGCGCATCAGCGACGCTGCGTGATTGATTGCCTTTTCCTTCTTCAAAAAAAAAATTAAAGAGGAATCAATTCAAAATCACATACACTCCTACCTTGGCTGCATCGAAGATGAAAGCAGAAACATTCGCGTTCTCCTCTCTGTGCCGAATGACACTGAACGGGGGGGAAAAAGGTGCCCTAAATAGGTTTAAGAATAGGGTAGGGTTTGTTCCTTTTATGGGCCTTAATTGGGCTCAAACATTGTTAAAAGAACTGGGGATATTGTGTTGACAGAACTAACATTAAAAAACAAAGTTAACAAATTTACTCTTTCTTGTAAATTATCCACGGAAACTCCTTTAAAAAAACAAAAAAAAAATTGAAAAAGTAAAAATTCTCGAAATAAATAAATAAATGAAAACGGTTGGTAAAACGGATCAAATCGTCCTTATCTCTAAACTAGAATCCGATTCGCTCTCACCATTAACCCAGTCAATCTTCTCTTCCACATTCATCAGATCACTCTCAATAGAGGAATCTACAAGTTTTTTAATGGCGGAAGCGAAGCTTTTTGAACTCAATAATGGCACTATGAAAGTCAACGTCTCCAATTATGGCTGCACCATTACTTCCCTGTTGGTGCCAGACAAAGATGGTACTTTTTTGGATTCGCTAAATTTATTGTTCGAAATCTCAAATTTGTACTTCTTCTAGGTGAACTTGTGTTAGTGATGTTTGATAATTTTTTGAATTTGTTGAAGGGAAATTGGCTGATGTTGTTCTGGGATTTGACACACTTGAACCCTATCTGGTGAGTTAGATTTGTACATCGCTCTTGCTGAAAACCCGTTTAGAATCGATCTTTTGTGTATGTGTGTGTGTGTGTGTGTGTTTTTTTTAATTATTATTATTGTGAGAAGTTGGTTCTTTGAATGTTAGCCCATTACTGGATTTTAAATGAGTGACCCAACCGGAATAAAAAATAAAAAAAAAGTGAAAATTACACAAATCCCTACTTTAATTATTCAACATTCTAAAATCAGGTGGAAAGTTTAATATTTCAAAAATTAGATATTTTATATTTATATATTAAATATTAATTAAACAATTTTTATCCCAA